TCTCTCTCTCTCTCTCTCTCTCTCTCTCTCTCTCTCTCTCTCTCTCACACACACACACACACACACACACACACACAATCCTCTTTCTTAACAGGATTAAAATGTCTTTTAATTTTCATCATCATCAATCCAAAATCTCCAAATGGGTCCATCAGTTCTTCATTCATGAACAGGGGTAGAAGGAATACCACAGTATCACTTCACTGAACCTCACAGACAAAGGCACCTTGGGTAGATGTTCCAGATATGAATGAGCTATCTCTATCAAAGATTCTGATCCTTGACTGAACAGGACATTCACTATCAGGAGGGACATACAGTCTACTCTTATACAACTCTACTGTTCTCAAGATGGCCTGATGTCTGCTTCCCTGTGGATTTTCATACATCCTAGCTCTGGACTTCCACACAGATCCAAGTAAGTCTCTGTCTGGTACACTGGAATTTAAAGACCACTCGGAGACACCCTCTAAGTAACACCACCTCAATATTTTACCCCTTTTAAAGTAGTCACTTCCAGAATTTTGTGAATTCCTCTGTTTCATAGTAGATTTCATTTTGTTAATTTCTCTCATGAAGAGTTTTCCCTTGATTAAAATACATTATTCTGGCTGTAGTTTTTCTAATAAACTACATTGAGACCATTAATGAATCTTGTAAAATAAAGCACATTTTGGTTTCTTCATCTCAGGCATCATTGGACACTAATATCTTACTAGGGAATTTTGCATTAAGCATCTGCTGAAGCAAAATTCTTAAAACACATTCTGATATCTTTTTTTATCAATAGTGGATAGCAATTTATCCCAGACACCCAAAGATCTCTTACCTGGGCAGCTATTTGGCTATATTTTTATGCAACTGTTTTTTAGTTTGTGGTTCCATTTTAAGGCCTGGCATGCATTCATATTATATTTCTGCTTGTAGAATTGCTCCACTGTTGCACACAGTTACGATCATTTTGGGCCTTCAGTGTGTATTCAGTACATTTACAATTCACTACAGTCCGATTTCCATAGTGTGCTCTTTTGTGTTGTTTCCCAAGCCATGAATACAAGTATTGATTAGGCAATTGCCTCCCCACTGCCTTATAGCCATACTTGAAGATCAATCTGGTAAGGGTAAATACGCAACTAAGACTCCCTTTTCAGGTGAGTCTAGGCTCTGCCAAGTTGACCCTCAATGCTGATGAGGACAGCTGGGGAAGAATGCATCAGGCAAGGAGAACTGTTCAGGCAAGCGGGTGAATGATCACGAGAGAAACTGGAAGACAATAATGGTTGGGGGGACTTTTGGAGCACAATGAGGGCTCAAGGCCAGGGGCTCCTGCAAGCCTCACCAGCCTTGTTCAGGGGTTTAGACTTTGTATTGAGGATTCCGCTAAAACCCAAAGCAGTAAACTTACATAATGATTAAGTTTATACACAGAAGTTTAAACCACTTCTGGAGACAGAGTGGAGGAGAGTTGGAATGGTGTCAGTCTTGATATTTGGAAGACCATTCTGGGGTAAAGAATGTACTGAGATCAGTCTGCTTGCAGGGCATGAGTCTACAGGTCCTAAGGTACTCGCCTATTTGCCTCCACATACACTACCCTCCCTCCCTCATGATCAATTACCCCCAAAGAAAGAAAGTTTATTAGCTCTAATGCCTTGGCTTTTCAAGGAGCCTTATCTATATAAACCTAGAGATGAGTATCTACCAAGCTTTCTACCTCCTGCCCCAGCCTGCAAAAACTGGCTAACATCTAGCAATCCTGAGTGAGGTCAGAAGAACAATGTACAGTACAGTGCTAGCTCTGAGTAATATTAGTCGATACTAAAGACAGAGAGCATGGTGATTTGGGAAATTCTGGCCTTACTGAAGGCAGCCTGGGTTCTTTGCTGGAGCACTGGTGCTGCACATGGCAAAACTCCAAACGGAGCAGGGGTCTCTGGTCGGAAGTGGCCATGGCAAAATTTCTTTTCAGATATTATTATTTTACATAGTGTGTATGGAACTGCTTTGCTACACTGTAGTTGTGAGACCTCAGCATCCATTGAAGGTTCTAAAGAGGTGGCTCTCTGGTTAAGTTTGCAGGGTACACATGTTCAGCTCATATACCACAGTGGGCAGCTCTTGACCGCATTAATTCCAGCTTTAGGAGATCTGATACCTTCTTGTAGACTCCACAGACACTGAGCTTACACACACACACACACACACACACACACACACACACACACACAGAGGGGGTGGGCAGAGAGACAAAATTAAAAGCAAAATCTTAAAAAGGATTTTTTTTACTGGATTTTTTTTGAGCTACCCTTTTCTTACTTTTAACAGTTTGATGGGTTAAGGACATAGGATTTAGAGTAAGGCTGTTGGGACCCCTTACATCCGCCACATATTGTCTTTATGACCTTGGACAAGTTGCAAAAACTTCCTGAACTGCAAAGTGTAGTTGGAATGGAAGAAAATGGAAGGAGTGCTCTATATGGGGTCCTGGCAAAGGCTAATCACTCAGAAGTCAGTGGCAGTAACAGTAGCTTCTAAGAACTGAGAAGTCCCTGGGATCCCAAAGTTGAAAATCAGAGTCTGTGTGGGCAGGTGAGGGACCCAGTAAGAATGCTCCCAGGATCCAGTAGACCCTCAGACCACCTGCCCCAGAAACAGCAAGGTTCACATCCCTTGTCTTTCCAGACCCATCTGCTTTGTTTTGTGGATTCTACAGGTAGACAAGTCATTCCCCACTC